ATATATATATATATTTTTTTTTTATTTTTTATTTTAAGTTTGCTTATGTACAATACTTCATATATTTGGCTATTACAGTGTGTTTTTGCACTGTTGCAATCAAGTGTTTATGTATTTGTCTAATTGACACAGACCTTGTTGATAATATAAGTAATATATTTCCAAATGAATCAATGTTGAATCTTATGTAAAATGAATTTTAGAGTCACCTGTTCTCTGTATGTGTTTGGTGCTGACAGGTGGCATGAAGAACGTATTAGTTATGACAGGAGAATCTATCACTCTACTCTCTGGTGTTCTTGAAATACGGGAATATGATCTGATATTGTGGAAGTTTGAAGATCATCTCATGGCTAAAATTAGTAAAAGGACAAATCAGTTCTTATTATATGACAGTGCTGATGGGAAATTTAAAGGCAGATTGAAGCTCAATCGTGAGGCAGGAGATCTCACCATCAGTGACTCCAGAACCACAGACTCTGGAGTTTATGATCTACACATGAGCAACAGTGCATACACCCTACAGAGGGCCATCAGTGTTACTGTCAAAGGTGAGTTACTCAGACACATTCACACTAATGACTGTCTTTCTTTATCATTACAGTATCAGATGTTCACTCAGGTTATATAGCTGATGTTCTTATAGTGTTATACTGTAGATCAGACACATTCACACTAATGACTGTCTCTCTTTATCATTACAGTATCAGGTCTTCACCCAGGTTATATAGCACTGATATGTGTTTGTGTAGTGTTAGTGCCAGTGCTTGTGGCTCTTGTGATTTACTATCGCTGCAAGGGTAAGTATCACCCACAGTTCTTATAACATGAAAAAACATGAGTGAAATCTGATTACCAATATGATTACTATATAAACATAGCTACTGCAAATATGATCCGTGTTTGAGCTCAGCTGTATTTTTGTTGGTGTTTGTATAATGCATATGATGTACTTGTATGAAGTTTGTCCATTCAGATAATAAACACCAACACAAAGAAACAACATTAATACAGAAATATTAAATACAGTGCTGATCTTGTGATGCTCTACTTTAGACTGAAGAGCAAACATATAAATACTAAAGAAATATGACTAGTCTTGAATTTTGCCATTTTACACATCCTGGAGAAGGTTTTACAACTAACCTTGAAGGAAGCTTAAAAGTTTAATGAAAAATAAGTTTAGCTATCAAGATAGCTCTGACTCCAAAAAGAGCAATACTGCTAAAAGAAAACAAATGCTATTGTTGTGTTTTCAGTAACTACATATCGTTCTGCCTGTCTTAGTGAAGTTCAGGATTTACAATAGATTTAAATCTGTTTGCTTCCAGATCACGAAATTATCTAAGCAAGGAACTCCAGTGGGGTAAGATATTGATCAGTTCAGTTTTTATGCTGTACCTGTGAGCTTTTTCACTGTTGAAAGAATGTGTTTTCTTTATGTGTGTGAATGCATTCATGGCCTGCATACTGCAAAATTAAAACTATATTTTTGTTGCTGTGTCTCTTTCTGTATTTTTATAACAGGTTTCAGTGAAGATCAATTAAATCAACCTCAGGATCAGCATGAATCCATCCATTACAGTACATACATAACCACGGTAACAATATAAACATAGTTAAGCTGTGTAAATGAACATGAGCTGTATTTGCTATAAACAGATAAGCAAGGTTTGGTTGATGTATTAGCTTACTTTACACACTCAATTTGCCCCGCAAATGTCAGTCCTGCTGCAATTGGAGCAGTTAGCCAAGCCCAGGCCCGGATGTACGAGGGTACTAGATGGCGCTAAATACCCTCAAATGAAAGCAAAAGCAATTAAAGATCTGGCGAACTGTCCAATGTGTTTTTGTGGCATTGAACAATGTAGCCAATCACAGACATATCTGTTGATCTCTTCAACGCAGTAGCCAATCAGAAACGTTAAGAGTATTCAGAATTCACTTAACGTTGAAAGCACCGGAGTTTTGCACGCTTGTGAATCATCTCATAAGTGCAGACGGGATGTAGCCTAAATAATAGATTCATTGTGTAGTTTAGAGAGCTTCATTGATTATAACGGAACTTTGTGAAATCTTAATGAACTAAGATGAGTAATGCTTTTAGTGATAATAATGGGAGTGCGCTTTGTGTGCTTTCTAGGCTATAATCCATTCTGAATTTGTATGAAACTTTCGTTTTTCGGACTCATACATGCTGCAACGTTTCGGGAATTGCATCAACATTTATGCTGGATTCATTCTAGAAATATCAGAGATTGACACTGATAACCAAAGCAATGGACGGGACAAAAATGCCTCAGTGATTTCTTCTGGAACCGGTCCTGGCCAAATTTCCACAGACAGCGAGAGCGACATTCAGTTCACGGACTGAAAGCGTGTAAACTTTATTGAGATTGGGACATATCAACCATTTAATTTCCAGTAACGGACGGTAGAAAGTTCAGAAATGAATGAAATGCAATTTATGACAGACTAGTCCCACAACTGATTATATGATGAGTAATCTAAAATGATTTATACATTTCTGTCTTTACAATGTTGATCGAAATGGTTCTTATTAGTTTAATCTTTAGGCTGTTCGCATGGGGATTTGTGATTGGTCTTATATGTGCAAAGTGTCTCTTCTGTTCTGTGCCATTAATAATTGCATAAATACTGAATATTCCTCTAAAACTCAATTGTTTGCATCAGTTCATTAGTTCAGTTCATGCAGTGTTTGATTTGTATGCAAATACACAAGCCAAATGAACTGATAAAACTAAGACTATTATATAAAGTCAGATTGAACAGCGAGCGTGGAGTGCTACCATTGTGGATGGATTGCAAGTTTGAAAGAGGATGTTTACATGTCTTACCATTAGAAGTGGCCTTCATAAATACTGATTATTCCCCCAAACCCAATTGTTTGCTTCCAAAGTCAGTTCATTAGTCAGTTCATGCAGTGTTTGATTTGTGTGCAAATACATAATAAAGCCAAATTAACTGACAAAACTGAGACTACTGTAAGAAGTCAGAGTGAAAAGCAAGAGTGGATGCTTTCTGGAGTGCTACCATTGTGGATTGATTGGAATTTTTTATAATTGCCATAGGCATAAAGAAAGATTAGACAGGGTGTTACATGGTACATGTCGTACCACTTGAAGTGGCCTATTTGCTCTTTACCTTTTTTTTTTTAACAAACCTAAATGGCACAATGTTTGCATCAGACTATAACACTAAAATAAATAAATGAAAGAAATATAAAAAATGTTGAGGCAGAGAGAGAGAAAGAAACTAAATGTTTATTATTGCTATGCAATATCAAGTACATCACCGTTTCATTGTCTGTGTTCTTCCGAATCTTCTGATGTCATTAACCAGAAGAACAACAGCGGCCACAGCAGCTACACTTATCAAAGCAGAGACGACCAGTCGGATCACAGCTTCAGGAGAGTCAAAACAAAGGTCGCAGTCTGAAGAGAGACACTAAATCAAGCACTGAAGAAAATGCATTATAAAAGCTCTTTCACAAAAATGCACAAAACTGGATCTAGACTACCTGAATGTATTTGACAGAGTTGATCGATGTCCAGATGTCTGGTCTGGGTGCTGACAGGATTGTTCACTACACAGCTGTAGGTGTTTTTCTCCTGATATTCCACCTCCAGAGGTAGAGAGAGACTGATGCTGAGATCAGACACACTGATGCTGGACAATAAACTGTTTCCTTTGTACCAGGAGAGAGTCACATCACTCACATTCACCACTGAACACAGGAAGATCCTCGATGATCTTTCAGCCGATAAAGCACATTGTGAAGTATCACTGAAGATTACAGGAATAGGCACAGGAGCTGGGAAACAAAGGGGAAACATAAACAAAACTAGAAAGATTTTCTATTGTTTACAACACCTACAACTTCATCTCACCATAAACAGTGACAGCGAATCGCTTGGTTGACTTCTTATTCCTGATAATGATGCTCAGTTGATAAACGCCAGTGTGTTCATTAGTGATGTTTGTGACGGTGAGATCTCCAGTCTGTCTTTCGAGCTGCAGTCTGTCTCTAAATGTCTCGTCATTGTATGTAGTAATGTTCCCCGCCGCTATTCTGGTTAAACGAGTTCTGCTCGATCCAAACCTCCACTCGATCTCATCATCTCTCTGTATTTCTGTAAGACCAGTACGGAGAGTGAAGGAATCTCCCTCCATCGCTGACATCTCATCTGTCTCGACACCAAACACTCCTAGAGATGTACGACGCAACACGTAAATATTCTAAATGCTACAAAGAGCAACCCTGTACAGAGACGTCAAATATGTATTACTCACCAATCAGAGGAATAAAACATAAAAAGTACAAAACGAGCGCGTGAATCATTTTCCTCAACAGTTACTACGAGTGCTGGTTTTCTTAAGGTAGGCTATAGCCTAGCCCAGTATTTCCCAACCGGGGTGCCGTGTAAAAATATATATTTTTAATATTTTTACATTTCTAAAATGTTCAAAAAAGCATCTATTATTTAGTATCTATTTCTGATGTCATCAAGAATTAGAGATGCACCGAAATTCCGGCTGCCGAAAATGAGTTCACCGCTCAGGTTTCACTTTCACGTGGTGTGACGCTCTGCGTATTATGCTCCACTCATCGGAACAGCAAAGTCCACTCAAAAGTAGAGTCGACAGGAAACTAATATGTAGTACAGTATTGTTTCTGTTTGCAATAGCCCTACTGTGTTGTATCATGGTGTGGTATATGAGCAACTCTGGTAACACTGCCCTCTCATTCATTGATCTGCTAACCGCTATGTTATGCTCACGTGTTCTGATAATAATAGCTTTCTAGGACCAATCATTATTTGGATAATTGGTAAAAGCAAACAAACAAACAAACACAATATATTAATAGTCCTACAGTTAGACCTACCTGAAAAACTAAAAAGTAATTTATTTCATTTGTAGGCCTATTGTTATTTTTTTATTTGTGCTATCATTAGTAATTTCATTATTTGTTCTTGTTTTATTACTGACTTCTTGTCATTTTTTATTCAATTCAAAGTTTGAAATCAAATAGCGTGCTACTGCAACAAAATTACCCCACTGTAAAATAAAAATACACTGAGTGAGCAAAAAATTGAGAGATATCAAATGGTAATTAAACAATGTTTACATATTAATAAAAGCCTACATTAAAATCTGTCACATAAATTGGTCTCTTCCTTAGAAATTAGCCTACTGATTGCCACCATTGATGGACAAAAAAAATGTAAGAATGTTAAAAAATATCTGTATGACAGTATATTCTGCAGTTCTTCCCTGCTGTACCAAATATACTTTTCAAAGTATCATATCAAAGTTAGACATTCAAGTATTGTGACAAAATACATTTTGTAGGTTGCCACAAATTTGTTAAAATTTCCAAAGGGTGCCGCGACTAAAGAAAGGTTGAGAAACACTGGCCTATAGCCTACTCTCATGGTTATATGCAAAATGTTATTTAATCATCTATTTAGGTACTTGAATTTTAAATGTATTAAATTCAAATTCAAAAACGTTGGCCGTATATTAAAAATGACTGCAAACTTTATTAATATTATTATTATTATATTCAGTGTCGATTTGTGCAGGTTACATAATTAGGCTACTCCAGGAGTGTTTTGTCGTGTCTCAATCGTCTCCATCCCTAATCAAACACACCTGAACAACCTAATCAGGGTCTTCAAGATTAGGCAGCAACAGGCAGGTGAGTTTCATCAGAGTTGGAGTTGCACCAGGCATCCTTGGATCCTTAAAAACGCATTTCAAAACGCGTTCTGAAAGCCTCCTGATCGATTAAATCAGCGCATTTTTCAGCAGAGTGTATTGTGAGGTCGCAGGTCGAGAGGATGACAGCTGGAGTGTGCTGCTCGTTGATTGCTGCTTTATTTTGTGTCTCTGTTTGTTTGAGCACAAGAGCTGAAGGAGCAGGTGAGGTCTTTTAACTTCATTACTCCGTGCGAAGAAATAAGTAGGAACTTTTATTTATATATATATATGTACTTTTAGGCACATATCAGAACGTATAAGTATACATTAGCCAACCAGACGTCCAGTGAAAGTTAAACTTCGTTTGTGTAGTTTAAAAAAAGCAATGTTTATATTTCTTCCATTACAAGGGAGACACAATGACCAAAATTGACATTTATTAATGTTATATAGCTACTATTATTTTTATTTTATTTTTTTTAACAGTAAATGGATCCATTCATTTGGCTGCAAGGTTGTTACCACGTATGTATACGATCACTCTTGAATTTTTTTTTTTTTTTTTCCCCAAATGTTTTGTTCTTTACATGCAATTTAGCATCGGGGCTAATCATGACTTGCGAGCATTTAATGAAGTGTTAAAATGCTTGAAGTGTTACTGTGGTGGTCATGGTATATTAGAAGTATTTATTTGTATATATTGTATTAAAATGGACTTGTCCATGTTTTATGTTGGCATTACTATGCACTACACCACCAGTAGTGAGGCAGGTTCTATGTTGTATTGTCCCTCCATGCCTTTGAAATAGTTTAGGGATAAATGGTGGATTTTTAAACCACTTTGGTTTGATACATGCATACATTTGTCTGTTATACTTCAGTTTGATACATGCGTCTCACAGCCACTGGCTTGCAAGTGCTGAAAGTGATTTTAGCACTCTGTGGTCTCCTAATTATCCTGTTGAATCTTTATTAGTGTCTGGTGACGCTGATGGTTGTGTTGTCCTGTCAAGGATGTTTCTAATAAAGATTGCTCTAGAAGACAGGCATGCTTTCGATATGATTGTGGGGCTGTATGTTTACTCCCTGCTTTCAATGAGTTTCAATTAATAGTGAATGTTAGAGGGTTTGCAAAGAAATGCTGAGAAGGCTCTAAAGTCTCAAATTGCTAGTTTCATGTAATTGCAAAGAAACCACAAGCAACACACTTTAAACTTGGAATTTTGAAGGTTGACAAAGTTGGTGTTATATATATATATATATATATATATTTTATTCTGTTGTGTTTTGCATGTCAGCAAAGCCAGGAGTGCGTCTTAAAAATAATCTTGAAGTAGCAGTGTCAGGAGTGTGTGCTGAGATGTGTTCGTGTGACTGTCCAAACAACCAGAAGTGCTGTAGCAATGGATGTGGACGTCAGTGTATGGCTCCATATAAAGGTATTTGTTACATTGGTGTGTGGGTCAGCTTGGGGTTGTTTATTTTTTTAATTTTTAAATGCAGTGAGGCATTCAGTGAGGTTTCGGTGTCATGTGTTTGTGTAACAGAAAAGCCAGGAGTGTGTCCAAGCAAGAACCTCAGAATAGGAGTGTGTGCTGAGATATGTTCCCATGATAGTGACTGTCCAAATGATGAGAAATGCTGCAGCAATGGATGTGGATGTCAGTGTATGGCTCCATATAGAGGTATTTGTTACATTGGTGTGTGGGTCAGCTTCCTTTCCGTGTATGTGGGGAATTTTTTTTATTTTTTTTTTATTTAATACAGTAATGGTTTTTCTATTGTGTTTTGAATGTCAGCAGAACCAGAAAAACCAGGAGTGTGTCCAAATAACAATCTTGCAGTAGCTTTTTTAGTAAAGTGTGTCGAGTTGTGTTCCCATGACAGTGACTGTCCGAATGATAAGTGCTGCAGCAAAGGATGTGGACGTCAGTGTAAAGGTATTTATATTATATTGGTGTTTTATTTTTAATTTTTATATGCAGTAAGGCGTTCAGTGATCTGATTTCTCGATCATGTTCGTATAACAGAAAAGCCAGGAGTGTGTCCAAGCAAAAACCTTGGATTAGGAGCATGTGTTGAGATGTGTTCCCAAGATGGTGACTGTCCGAATGATGAGAAATGCTGCAGCAATGGATGTGGACATCAGTGTACGGCTGTATCTAAAGGTATGTTATATTAATGCATTGGTCAGCTTTTTTCCCCTATTACAGGGAGTCATTCAGTGATCTGCTTTCTCTATCATGTTTGTATAACAGTAAAGCCAGGAGTGTGCCCAAAAAACAACCATGAAGGAGTATTTTCAGGAGCGTGTGCTGATAGGTGTTCTCATGACAGTGACTGTCCAAAAGATGAGAAATGCTGCCGCACTAAATGTGGACTTGACTGTACACTTCCATTTATAGGAATTTATTATATTGATGCTTTGTTTCCAGCACGCTTTTTTTTAAAATTAATATAAATTCAGTAATCATGCGTTTTGTATAACAGCTGAACCAGAAAAACCAGGAGTGTGCCCAAAAAACAACAATAATGAAGGAGCAGGAGTGTGTGTTGATAGGTGTTCTCATGACCGTGACTGTCCAAACAACCAGAAATGTTGCAGCAAAGGATGTCTACATCAGTGTATGCCTCCATATAGAGGTTTTGTTATACTTGTGTGCATTTTTTTATATATATATATATATATATATATATACACACACACACACACAGTGGGACAAAAGTATTTAGTCAGCCACCAATTGTGCAAGTTCTCCCACTTAAAAAGATGAGAGAGGCCTGTAATTTTCATCATAGGTATACCTCAACTATGAGAGACAAAATGAGAAAAAAAATCCAGAAAATCACATTGTAGGATTTTTAAAGAATTAATTGGTAAATTCCTCGGTAAAATAAGTATTTGGTCACCTACAAACAAGCAAGATTTCTGGCTCTCACAGACCTGTAACAACTTCTTTAAGAGGCTCCTCTGTCCTCCACACGTTACCTGTATTAATGGTATCTGTTTGAACTTGTTATCAGTATAAAAGACACCTGTCCAAAACCTCAAACAGTCACACTCCAAACTCCACCATGGCCAAGACCAAAATTGTAGACCTCCACCAGGCTGGGAAGACTGAATCTGCAATAGGTAAGCAGCTTGGTGTGAAAAAAT